AAAAAAAAAAAAAAAAAGAGAGAGATTAATTGAGATGAGAGAAAGCTGAGATTAATTGAGATGAGAGAAAGCTGAGATTGAGAGGAGAGTGAGCTCTGTCCAAGTAAAGGCTTCTCTGTGAGTGTTCATGAGTGTGTATTTGTGTGTCTCTTGCTCTGTGGAAGCTACCCATACAGCAAGAAGTCTGGAAGCAACTGAAAGAAGTCCTGCTCCAGAATAATTCATTTTTGGTTTAGACTAAATGTTGTCCTTCCTTAGCTGAATACATGAATAATCTCTAAAGACCATCATGAATGAAAGCCAGAACTTAGAGGACAGCTCAGGAGTCTTACTGAGTTTTGTGGCTCTCCCTTCTCCATAGAGAAGATTGCTTAGATGCTACTAGCAAAGTGGATACATACTGTCTGGAGCTTCCAAAGCATCCTAAATTTGTGCAGTGCTCTGGTCTTCTCACCCTGGTTCGATTTCAGACATCAAACTTAAGAGCTCAAAAGATAAATATTTTGAATTTATTTCAATATTATGATTTGTAATGTTCCACTTTTATTAACATCTTTCAAGTATTAAATTGTAGCCTTTTCCCCCTTCAATGCCTCCAGTCTTGGATTTGAATCTTTTGGAAGTCAACATTCACTTGTGTTGCATCATCAAAGCTGGTAATCAACTGTATTACTGGAAGCCAACTAGCTAGGGCTTTTCTTCTTCTTTTTTTAATGCTACCAAAAAAATTATTTTTTTTAAATGAGTTAAAAGAAAGTAGTTTTAACAAGAGCAAATTTGCTAGTAATTAGACGAACCAGTCTTATGTCTTCCAGCACTTGGAAGCATGAAATTCACCAGAACTCTCAAAGCATTAATTAAAAAGAATTTATGTTTTTTTAATAAAATGCTTCATGTTTTAGCTCCTTTATTCTTTCACCAAATGTGATTATGTGGGGGCTGAAGGGAATTCAGGTTAATATGTTGACACACTTAACAATGCAGGGTCATGTTGCACAATACGCTTCACTGGTTTGGTTCAGTCCACCCCCTGACAGGGCCTAATCATCCCCTGCCCTAAAGGCAGAGGGAAAGAGAGGATTTTAATTACTGCTCTGTATGCAAGTTTGCCAGCATTAAATTGAGACATAATTAGGCCTCTGAATTTTAATAATTGTCCTAGCTAATTGGGCAGACAAGTACGTTATACAGCATGCCATGATTAGATAATTAGTATTTCCAAATGACAAAATTGGGCTCTTGATTACAAATTCTACATGAAGCGGGGGGCGGTGGGGGGAAGGAAAAAGGTAGCAAGCAAATCTTTACAAGCCTATTAAGGGAGAGTTTAGCGATGTTGGTAATTTAAAGTCCATTAGGAAGCAACATTTCACTCTCAGAGCTGGATGTCTGAGACAAGGGCCTCTGGTCTCCTCTGGCTCCTCTTCAGGGTGCTCTGTTTTCTCTGGGGTCTGCTGCATCCACCTTCCCCCCTCAACCCCAAGCTTAGCAGCCATCATTGACTTTGGATGAGGTCTGTTTCGCCAGAAGGCAGGTGGTAACTCTGAAACAGAAATCACGAAGTGTAGGAAGGATAAAACAGAGAAAAAGTAATCTACCCAGGTGGGAGGGGCTGTATAAGTACCCAAAGTGGCTTTCTTTTGCAAACAGCTGTTCTTTCAGTCTTCTCCCAGAATTTACCATTTTCATTGTATTATCAGCGCCACTAAAATCTTTTTGGTGGGAAAAAAGTCTTAAATCAAAATCTTAAATTTCTAAAGTATTATATTATTGGGGTGAAGACTGTGGGCATTGGAGACTGACTTTGTTTTGAAGTCATTACTTCCTAGGAGGGTGGTCTTGCATAAATTACTTAATCTTTCCAAGTCTCAGTTTTCTCTTTGCCAAAATAAAGAAACTTCTTCAACAAGATTGTTGAAAGAATTAAATAATACACATACAGATGGCCCCCAACTTAGAATGGTTTGACTTAGGATTTCTCTACAACTTTGCAATGGTACAAAAACTTCCTTGATTTATGATGGGGTTATATTAAATAACCCCATCATAAATTGAAAATATTGTAAGTCAAAATATACTTGCAATTTAAGATATTTTTAATCTACAATAGGTTTATCAGGACAATCCCATCATAAATTAAGTTGCATCTGTAATTTAAAGCTCAGTGCCTGGCATGGAGTAAATGCTCAATAAATATTAGCTGTTAAATGCAAATTAAATCAATAACATTGGAAGGCACAAGGTGAAGGTGCTGGGTCTGGCTCTTTGCTATGCCAGTCCTCAGATGAAGCAAGGAATCCTATTCACATTGCTTTCTGACAGAGGAATGTGGTACTTCATTTATGCTGGGAGGGTAGGGGTGGAAGCCCAATGGCAACAGCTGCCTCTACAGCTCAAATGCACAACCAGATTTCCTTTTTCCCCATTCTTCAAGGGTTGGCATTTGCAGACAAGCCCTCCCATGCAAAAGTCATGGGGGCACTTAACCTAAGAAGAATGTGGTATAAATTCTGCGTCTTGCCTTCATACCTTGTAACTTACTCTGCATGAATGTCACTTTATTACCACAGAGGCATAATTCTAGCTGCTAATTTTTTTCACAATCAATAATCAGTAGGCTAGGCTCTAAACCTATGCTTTTCAAGCAAAAGGAGTATCAATTGGATGCAAACTAGAACCCTTCTAAAAAATGATTGAGATGGTTCATGGATGACTATCTGATGATGAAAGTTTGTAAGGGGAAAAACTCAGAAGTTCCAGATGTATATTCCTGACCACTGAGGATGACTATAAATAAGGAAAACAACAATGTCTCCATGGCCTGGTCCAGTCAAAGTAGCTACCAGACTGAATGAGGCTTCTGTTTTTTGAGAGAGCCTCACTCTGTCGCCCAGGCTGGAGTGCAGTGCAGTGGTGTTATCTCGGCTCACTACAACCTCCACCTCCCCGGTTCAAGAGATTCTCCTGTCTCCGCCTCATGAATATCTGGGATCACACCACACCCGGCTAATTTTTTGTGTTTTTAGTAGAGACAGAGACCGGGTTTCACCATGTTGGCCAGGCTGGTCTTGAACTCCTGACCTCAAATGATCCACCTGCGTTGGCCTTCCAAAGTGCTATTACAGACGTGAGCCATGGCACCTGGCCTAAACTGGCATTTCTTACTACTTTCTTAGAACTTTGGGCTATCTCGTTTATGAATGATGGAAGAGTTCTGCTGGGATTTCAATTCAGAAAGCAGGGCTCTTTCTGTGGGTAACATATCACCGAGACATAATTTCTACCGAACATCATCACTTAATTAGAGAGAGAGGAGGTCAACACCTTGAGACCCAAGGAAGAAGGAAAAAGACTTAGGATTAAGTGTAGGATGCAAACATTCTACTAGAAGCTTCAAAGCAAAGAGTAAGATATTATTCTCCTGGAAAAGAGAGATGACGGAGAAAGACGGAGAGAGCGGCCCTTAACGCCTGATTTGTATTTACACAATAAGGAAACCTCTCCTCTGGGGTCTCTCGGTAGTCCGCAGGGACCGCGCTCGCCGAGGCGCGCCGGCGAAGAGAGTCCGTCGGGAGCTCCAGCCCTCCCTGCACTTCCCAGGTGCCAAGACAAAACATCACTGAGTGGGGAGACAACTGTCATGAAGATTCTTTCCCCGCCACACAATGCTGAGCTTCTCTCCCTCTCTTTTTGAAGAAGTGCGTTTATGACTGATCGCTCAGCACCTTGTTGGTTCTGATTGCAGAAAACACACCTTATAAATATATGATAACCATCCTGTAATAGAGAGTGTGACAATTTACTTCACAGTGCGTTTCGGGCTGCTAATTGATCGTTTCAGTCCAGGGACGATTTGGAATAAATTATAGCCATCAAAAGGATATCACAGCTCATTTTGGTGGAAGGGTTTCCACGTCGCTTCGCGTTCGTCTCCCAGAGAGAGCAGATTGCACCCGGCGGGCGTTGAGGAGGGGAGGGAGGGTGCAGGGGAAAAGGAGGCCTGTGGGGCGGGGCGGGGCCGGGGCCGGGGAGGGGCGGGGCCGGGGCCGGGCCGGGGCGGGGCCGGGGGCGGGGCGGTGTCGCCCTCAACGGGTGCAGGTCCGCGGCCGGACGGTAGAGGCCTCCCTTCCGAGGACTTGGCGCTGGGGCGTGCGCGGGTCTGCGGGCTGGGGCTCTGCTTCCCGGCGCGAGCCCGCGCGTGGTTCCTCGCGAAGTCCCCGCGCGGCCGGGCCCAGCGTGAGTATTCTCCGCCCGCTGTCCTCCCCTTCAGGCGGCAGCGCTCGTTTATTTGAGGTGAGAGTCTCCCTCAGGCAGAGGGCCCTGCTTGGGGCGGGGGTGCTCGCGTGCGCAGGGTCGCTCTTCTTGCCCGAGGCTTTCCCTCAGTGGGGCTGCTCCGACGGGCAGACGCGGTGACCCAGGGCGCTGCGTTCTGCGCTCCTGGAGCCGAGGGTAGCGAGCCGTGGGGGCGCCGTAGCCCCGTTGGGAGCTTTGTATGCACTTGGGGCTCGTGGCTCGGGTAGCTCCGGTTCCCACGCTGCAGTCGGGGAGGAGGCTAGTGGAGAGACCCAGTCTGGAGGGAGCTGTGCCCGCCGCAAACTCCAGGAGAGGGCGTGGAGAGGGCCGGCCGGGTAGGTCGGCGCAGCGAGGCGATGCCTGGGTCGCCCGGGCGCGAGGTCGCGAGGGCAGCGGGTGTCGCGCTGTGGAGCGCGGTGAGAACGACGCCCCTGACCCCAGAACGCTCGCCAAGGCCACGCCAAGGTGGCTGGACCCTGCCTCTCCCCGCAGCCGGCTGGGCTCCAGCCTACCTCAGAGACTGCCCGCGCTTCGATTTCAGTTTCCTGCAAAAGTGTGTGCCATTGTGTTGTGGTCGTGGAGGAAGGAGAACCAGGAGACTGTCTATCGCTGGATGGAATTGGAATTTGAAGAAAAAAATGCCCCTACTCTTGTTGGGGGTTCTTGCCTATCTGGCCGCCTCCTTCCCGCCCACTAGACCTCCAGCTTTCATTCTCTTCCTAGATCAAAGCCTGAGGACTGAGGCCCTTCACGCTAGTAGCCCCCATCCCCGGTGCCCAAAGCCGGCCCTTGCAGGGCGTTCTTAGCTTTTTAGTCTCTGTCACGCTAATACATGATGTCAGTCCAGGGCAGGGATGGTTCCATGCAGGCGATTTTGACATCAGTCATCATACCAAGCTATTAGGAAGTGTGATGTCAGTGCGTTCTGGAAGGACGGATAATATATCAACCAATTCTTGACATGGTATCTTACAAGGAAACATCTGAGGCCATCAGTAAGAGGCATTTTAATTCACACACTAAAAATATTTTGTGTTTAGTTAACATCGTGCAGATGTTGAAAGAGGTAGTAGCATTTATCATTTTGTAGGTATTTATCAATGTACTCAAAAAAGTTCCTATAGGAAGGAGGAGGTTTTTGTCTTATTTCCATTCTGCCATAAACTGAGGAACAGAGATATTATGTAACCAAACAGTACAAGTAAGTTAGTGAGAGCGCTCTATTTATAAGAGACCAAACATTTTCTAAAACTGGAATAACTGGAAAAATTAAGTCCGAATTTAGCAGATGGTTTAGGCTTAACATTATATGATAGCCAGAAGTTGTATTTACATGGACGAAATACTTTGGGAGGCTAATCTGTGGGAGTTAATTTTACAATGAACTCCATATGTGTTGGCCCAAGATACAGTTTTCTTTTTTTCCATCCATCCATTCAGTAAGTATTTATTCATTATCTATTATAGGTCCTCCACTTCACTTTGACATTGAATATGATCCCTATGGACATTTAATAAGTCATTTTTGAAATGTAACTAAAATATGTATATTTTCTCCTGGCTCCAAGAAACTCAAGGAACTGTGGCCTTTCCTTTATACAAATGGAAAATTGTATCGATTACCTTTAAGCAGACAGTCAAGGGAAGAAAATAGGAATCAGAAAGCTTTCTCCAGCTTGTGCCATATTCACAATACCACACAGTACCATGGGTGGTTTTTTTTTTTCTCCTTAAATCTCATTAAACAAAATTTAAAGGACATACATGATTGAAGGGGATATTCTTTTAATTACTTTAGAATGCAAAATAATCCATAAAAGGTCTTGCTCTTTATTTGGTATACTGGACTGGCTGGTTTCATGTGAATTGAAAGCACTTATTTCTAGTTAAAACCAAGACCACATACAGTACCTTTTCTCCCCCAATCTTAAGTCAGAGTTGTCTACAATTAAGTAAGCGAAATGCATCCCAAGTAGTCATGCATACACATGGTTCAAATTAATTGGTTTAAAAAATATAAAAACATACCCAATATGTTTATCTCAGTTACAGTTTTAATTTTTCTTAGATAATGCTTGAAATCATTTAAAACAATATCTAGATCCTTAAATATTAAAACATTTTTTGTGAAATTTGCAAGATGCACCTAAAGGATGTAAAATTTTTTTGAAGTACAATATGTTGGGACTAATTTTGTCCCTAACTAATATCGTGCTAGAGGGCTGAAACGGTATAACCAAGATCTGACTAGTGTCTGCATATTAACAACTACTCCAGAACTTACACAAACATTTTAGTGTGTTCTCATTTATCTAGTCATCTTGGAAGGCTGTCACTTATTGTGTAGGTGCTTCCATTGCTGCCATTGCTCAAACTGTTTTTGGAGCTCTTCATTGGGTACTGCTTTCAGAACCCATAGCACATCTGGTTTAGGAGCCTTGGGGTGGCAAGCCATCTTTCTTTAGCATCCATCAGTGCCCTGACGAATAAGGTGGGTGATCAAGTCAGGATAATAAAATTTGGGATCAAAACAAGCTGAAAGAAAATTAGATGGCGTCCCTCAGTGACTTTTTAACTAGTTCTAAAGTCATTGTACTAACATACGGCAGCACCATTGGAATTAAGAGTAGAAGCCAAAGAAACGTGCTATACATTCTCTTTGATTGTCAATGAATGACAAACTTAACAATCATATATATACATGTGTAGTGCATTGGCATGCATGATAAAGACATAGTACTTCAAAGAGTTATATTTTCAACAGTTTGGTTGATTCTAAATTTTTTCAGTGCATAAATTTGGTATGATTTAAAAAGCTAAGTTCTAGAATATGAAATTAGGTGGGAAACATTCAAGATGTCATGGCTAAAATTAGGGTTGCCCTATGTAATTCCACAGGATTGGCAGTCTACATTTCTTATACTAAAGAATCATACTCATTGGCCGGGTGCTGTGGCTTACACCTGTAATCCCAGCACTTTGGGAGACCGATGAGGCGAACGGATCACGAGGTCAGGAGTTCTAGACCAGTCTGACCAACATGGTGAAACCCCATCTCTGATAAAAATACAAAAATTAGCTGAGCGTGGTGGCGCATGCCTGTAGTCCCAGCTGCTCAGGAGGCTGAGGCAGAAGAATCACTTGAACCCAGGAATCAGAGGTTGTGGTGAGCTGAGATCATGCCAATGCATTCCAGCTTGGGCAACAGAGCGAGACTCCATCTCAAAAAAAAAAAAAAAAAAGAATCATACTCGTTTAAGAAATTATTCTATTTAGTGAGCAAGGCTTTTGACTATTACAATAAATTTCACCTTCTCTTAGCCTATAGGTGAGGTCTAACCTGTGAGATAAAACACTTGTCATTTTTAGTAGTTGATTATAAATACAGACTCAAAAGTATATTTATAGTGGAACCACCATATTAAGTTAATAATATTCTACCTACTATACAAAATACAGAATCATGAAACTCCTAGCCCAGTGGATTTAAGCTCTTATTATAATATTCAAGTCCAGAATGCAGGAGATGGTATAGAATGTCATCCAAGAAAAAGAGAAAAGAGAAGGAGGGGGAAGAAAGAGGTAAGTCATGCAGCTTTTGAATTATAGTTAGTTGTATTCATCTGAGGGAACAACTTAATTGGTTTCCACAAAACAGCAAACAATGTAAAATATGAGGAAATAATTCAAATTCAATTCTGGCTGAGACTATATGGAAAACCAAGAAAAGCAGAAAGAATGTAATTAGCTGAGTAGGAATTTTCCTAACAGTTCAAGTCTAATACCTTTAGTATTATATAGAGGGCCAAGGGATCATTAGTGATTAGCAAGAATCCAGACCATAATGATCAGGAGAGATCAAGGCCAATGGACAAAGATGAAAGCGCTTTCCTCCTTAAACCCAACGTTGCAAATGCTGATGCTCTTACATAGGGAAGGTCAGCCAGCAGACAAAGAAATAGGGCAGCAAATCCCAAAGCAACAAGTAGTCATTCCCCTCTTTCACTCCAGAGTTAGATTGCATATGGAGATTAGCCAAGATTGAGCTGAGACAAAAAGAATATCCTTATTTCAGCCAGGTGTAAAGTCTGGAACTGAGTCCTGTTTCTACTTTGATGAACTTGGGTGTTGTCCAGACATTGGAGAAGGGAAAACCTGCTGGGTCCTGGATACCAGGATTATACACCTAATTAAAAGGTCAGTGAACAAGGTGGACAGATCCAATTCTAGATCTTTCCTGGGGAAAGATACTGGACTACTTGTCCATTAGGTAGACAGAATGACTCTGAAAATTTATGTTAGGTGCCAGGCACGGTGGCTTCCAGCACCTTGGGAGGCTGAGGCCGGTGGATCACCTGAGGTCGGGAGTTCGAGACCAGCCTGACCAACATGGTGAAACTGCATCTCTATGAAAAATATAAAAATTAGCTGGGTGTGGTGACACATGTCAGTAATCCTAGCTACACGGGAGGCTGAGATAGGAGAATCACTTGAACCCAGGAGGTGGAGGGTTCAGTGAGCCGAGATCAGGCCACTGCACTCCAGCCTGGGTGACAGAGGAAGACTCCATCTAAAAAAAAGAATTATGTTAGGAGTACAAGGGAGTATCAGTTATCTAACAAACCATCCATAGATAATAATTGCAGAAAAATAAGTAACAGTGATTTTAGCCTTCCTTTTGAAATGGGTATCCTAACCATCATGACTGCCTATCTTCTTTTGTTTTTGGACATAGGGTGTCACTCTGTCACCCAGACTGGAAGTGCTGCAGTGACATGATGTCAGCTCACTGTAATCTCCGCCTCCCAGACTCAAGCCATCCTCCTACCTTGGCCCTCTGAGTAGCTGGGACCACAGGCATGTGCTACCATGCCTGGCTAGTTTTTTGTATTTTTGGTAGAGACAGGGTTTTGCCATGTTGTGCAGGCTGATCTTGAACTCCTGAGCTCAAGCAATACGTTTGCCCCAGCCTCCCAAAGTGTTGGGATTACAGGCAAGAG